TTAGTATGTGAGAATTAGCCTAGAAGAGAATGGGCCAAGCAGTGTTTAAAAGAATACAGTGTCCCTGTAATTATTTCGGGGCATAAGCTAGCCGGGCAGGCGGCTGGGGTGATGGGGACGCAGCCCCGCCGCCACCCTTATTACTACATCTTCCCCTGTGTGATCAGCAGATGATAGATAAGTCAAACTCATACTGTGATCCACTGAAATAAAGGACCCTGGGGTCAAGAAGAGAAATTCGTTTCCCAGACCCATATTGTTCTGTTTTATGCTTTGACCTTTCTTAGACTTAAAATTACATAACTTTTAAAGACTCATCCTTCCTACCACTGGGTGTATGAGTGGTCTTCCTTGAACGTGAAATTATGTAAACTTGATCATGCATTGAAAGGGTCTTGTCACACCTTGTCAGTTGAGTACACTCACATGACTTATTTCTGGGCTCTTATCATTTTTTTGGTTCAATGCCAGTGTCACAGTGACTAGGTAGCTAGAGTTTCACAGTAAGCACCGAGACTGGCAAGGGATCTTCCAATTACTTGTTTCCATGTTGGTTGGGTCTTCCATTATATGTTAGTTCAAGAAGTTTCTGATTATTTTTAAGTGAAGTTTTGATAGAGATTTGTGAATTGCAGTGTCAATCCAGGAAGAATTCTTAATTTATGTTTTATTTTATTTCCTTCAAAAATGTTTAAAATTTTTATTTTTAAAATTTATTATTTTTAATCTCATTTTACACTCCAACAAAAGTTCTTAATCCTTCCACCCACCCTCCCACTCCTACCCCTTTTCCCACTTTTGCTTCCACCCCCCAACTCCCTCTCAGCCCATCTCCCATCTATTCTATCTATTCCTTCCAGCACGTAAGGGCTCCCTTGGGGGGTCCACAAACTATGGCATGTAAAATTGGGACAGGACCAGGCCCCTCTCCCTGCATTAAGGTTGGGCATGGCATCCCACCACAGGGAATGGACTCCATCAAGCTAGCTCATTACAAAAGCTTTCCTTAAATGCATTTCTAAGTGTTTTGCTTTTTAAGCCACTGATAAGTGTAATTGAGGTTTTATGTATTTTATATGTATTTCAAATTAAGACAGAAACCGTGCATATACTTATAGACCATCCTATAATCTTTTGAACGTGAATATCTTACAAAACTCTCAAATCAAGGTAAATATATCTATCTCCCTAAACACCTGTGATTTCTTTTTAGTAAAAGCCTTGTATCTTCTTGAATATATACCATATGTACACCATTTACAGTGACTGGTTATGCCATAAGCTATTGTAGCTAGTAAAATCTTCATTATTATTTTTGAAAAGCATCCTTGGGTGAAAAGACTTTCTGTACTTTGTCAGATCCTCATCAGATCAAAGGAAAATTATCTTTAAACTGGAGTCTTGGGGGAGAGCCATAAGCATTTCAGATAATGGCAGATCCCTGAGGAAGAGGCAGCAGAGCAGCCTGACCCCCTTGCTTTTCTGGAGGCCTTTCTTTTGTTGATTTTCCCTGTGTTGGTTTCCAAGGCTACAGTGAGGTTGGAGATGAAGGAGAATATGTCAGGTTAAAATGCCAGAAGCTCAGTGTTCTGAACAAAGTTCAGCATTTTCTTTGAGTAATCGTTTTCTTTGAGGCTGCAAATCTTAGGTTAATTTCCAGTTATGGAAATGTTTATTCTGTCCATTTTTGCAGAATTCTTTCTAAGGCTTTAATATTGTTGATCTGTTTTCTTTGCATATCCATAGGCATGGAAGACCTTTGATTATTATTTGTATGCACATATACAGAGGACTAATATTGGACAAATAAGACTTCTTTATGTATTTACTTTTTAACAAATTAAGACATTTTCTGCTTTATTAAAATAATGTCTATGGTGTTTTCTCATAACATATCTACTTACTTATATCTGATGAACTATAAATGTAAAATGCCCTGCTCTACTTAATCTAATCAACCCACTCCTCCCCATTCTTTTTGTTAGCCCAACTATAAATGTCAGTATGATGCGTTCATTCATCCTTCTGTGCCTGGCATATTTTGCTAACAGCCATCTCTAGCTGCAGCCACACTATCATAAGGATAGGATTTAAATATGATTTTATTTGGACTGTACAATATTTTCTTTCTGGTACTCTTTGAGTGTTTCTTATATATATGCAACGAGTGTGAACATATACATTCTTCATGTCCCTCAAGACCCCAATATCCCTTCTAATTTCACACCTTCTTCCTTCCTTCCTTCCTTTCTCTCTCTCTCTCTCTCTCTCTCTCTCACTCTTTCTCTCCCTTCCTTCTTCCTTTCTTTTTTAATTTTTTTTTGTTTTGGTTTTTGAGACAGAGTTTCTGAGTAGCTTTGGGGCCTGTCCCGGAACTAGCTCTGTAGACCAGGCTGAACTTGAACTCATAGAAATTCTGCCTGCCTCTGCCTCCTGAGTGCTGGGATTAAGGGCGTGTGCTGTCACTGCCCAGCCATTTTTGATAACCCATTAGGCAAAATTAGTGGGCCATCCATGTGAGCGTGGGAAGCTTACATTATTCTTTCTTAAAGAAGAATTATTTTCCCCTTTTCAGACCCTATCAGGACCAAAAGCCTCTTAGTGTGTGATGGGCCTGGAGAGTATCATTCCGTCCTTGGTGGAAACTTAGCTAGCTTGATCTGAAGTAGGTACTGTGTGGGTAACCACAACTGCTGTGACTTCAGTAGGACAAAAGCCAAATCCTGGCCAGAAGACAGCATTTCACAGCACTAATCCCCATCCTCTGACTTTTACATTGCCTTCTCATCAAAAATGCTCACTGAGATGTGAGGAGTAGGGAATAAATTATAAATCAGTCTCGTTTAAGCCTGAGTGCTCTCTCTTATCCTCAGCAGTTTGGTCAGTTGTGCCTCTTTGTATTGACAGCACCACCCTGCAAACTGAAGTTCTTCTGTCTAAGGTTGAGAGCAACCCAGGACTAGGTCAGACCTGGCTCTCTTCTACCACACTCTCTTGATCATTTGACGACACTTTAGTTATTTCTACTTCTTGGTCCTTGTGAATAGTATTTCATTGACTATGGTGATGTAGACAGAACCTATGATAGTTGTTGCCTTTGGAGATATTCTTATTGGTAGTAAGGTTGCTGAGCCATGTGGTAGCTCTCCTTTCCATCTCATGAGAAGTTTGTGTGTGCTCACTAATAGTGATCATCCACGCCCCACCAACTGAGCAATAGCTCACCCTTCTTTGTACTCTCTCCAGCTCCTTTTATTTTCTTGATTGGTGCCATCCATACAGTGATCAAGAGATAGTTTATGTTTTCTCATGTGTTACCTTGTATGATTGTTAGGTAGGACAGGTTTTGTATGCCCATGGTCTGTTCCTTTGAGAAATGCCTATTTATGTCAACTCTTTTTGCTTTAATGTGGACATTTGCAATCTATTGAGTTTTGAATTCTCATTAAATTAAATGCACTAAGCTCTTTGTCAGAGGTATCAGTCATACACTATGAAAATGTTTCTTGTCGTTACTCTGGTGATAGTTCCTTCTCTTGTATAGAAACATTACAGATGGATTCCATTTCACTTGTCTATTGTCTTTTGTTCCCGGTGCTTCGAAGTTTTCTGTGAAGGATCCTTTTCTATTCTAATGTTCTGAAATGCTTTCTTCAAGGAGCTTGGCAATTTCAAGTGTAACATTTAAATCTTCTGATCTCTTCTGAGTTAACTCTTTTGGTTTGTTTTTGTTGTTTTGTTTCGGTTTGGTTTGATTTTTTTTTCAAGACAAGGTTTCTCTGTGCAGCTCTGGGCTGTTATGGAACTCACTCTGTAGATCAGATAGCCTTAAGCTCAGAGATTTGCCTGCCTCTCCCTCTCCCTCTGGAGAGCTGGCATTAAAGGCACATGCTACCACCACCTGGCTGAGTTAACTTTTATAAGTGACAAAAAGACCTGAGTCTAGATTAATTCTCCTTCATGAAGATTGTTTTTCAGCAATACATTTTCAAAAAAATTGTACTGTCCCCAATATTTGCCTTTAGCACATTTGTGAATATCTATAAGTTGTGAATGTGTTTACTTCCCAGTAGTTGACTATTCTACTGTCTTCTATGACTGCCTTTATGCCAATACCAGGATGTTTTAATAAAGTCTATTTGTAGCATGGTTTGAACTCAAATAATACATTTTTTTTTTTTGATTTTTCGAGACAGGGTTTCTCCGTAGCTTTTGGTTCCTGTTCTGGAACTAGCTCTTGTAGACCAGGCTGGCCTCGAACTCACAGAAATCCGCCTGCCTCTGCCTCCCGAGTGCTGGGATTAAAGGCGTATGCCACCACCGCCCGGCATAATACATTTTCTTATACTACATTACTTTTGATTTTGTAGCTTTGAGATTTTTATGTTCTATGTTCATGTACCATTTTTATTGTTGTTGTTATGTGAAGAAAGACATTAGTATTTCTGTATGCATCATAATTATCTCTTGAGCTTAAGAACAGTGCAGATTTTTCAATTTCTGGAAGTCCCATCAAGACCAGTTCTCAAGACACTGAGGATCTCAGCACCTCTTGGTGCGAAGAAGAGTGTGTTGGTCAGAAGACGACTAGGGATGCACAAGCTGAGATGTTCCAGGTACCCAGGGTTCCCTTTCATCAATTATTGCCTAATGTGTCAGAGGGTCTATCACACCCTTCCCAAAAGGAAACAAGTTAGAAAGCTTCCTAGTCTGTCAACTCTGGAGAAAAGTCTGGTAAAAGTGTCTTCTGTTTGTATGCACAGAGACAAGATGTGCCCTGCAATATACCTGTCCAGATGATTGGACTCTATAACTGCAGGATGGCCCACCTGTCTAAGAGCTGGGGTAGTCCTTCCACTGGCCCTTCAAGTCCAGTTTGAGAAATCCACCTCTATTCATTTGACACCCCCTTGCCTGATGATCCAAGTGTTTATGCAAGTTTTCACAAGATTGAAGATGAAACCAGGTATGTGGAAACTGAAGTAGTTACTTTAACCGAAATGGTTTGGATCCGAGCCATGTGCTTCAGCCCAGACAGCACACTGACTGCTCAGACTCAGGCTCTCAGATGGGCAGAGTCCGTTACCTTTTACACAGACCGTCAGTCAGTACACATTTACTACCAGGCACGTCTAAAGTATGATCAATAGAGAAACATGGCTTTTCCTCCCTGGGGAAAAGGATATTAAAAAATTTAGGCCCTCCTCAAGGATATTCAGCTTCCTCTAAAAACTGCTGTCCTCCATGGACAGGCTGATGACCTAGCTGCCCCCATAACAGCCCTAAGACCAATGGGACCTATTGATATTCTGATGACATACCACCACCCATTGCTGCCTGAGGCTCTATGGTACAGGAGAAATGGACAGTTCCAACCCACAGGCTAATAGAGGACGCCAGAGAGAAAAAAAAAAGTTCTTTCAGAAATAACTGGCAGTACTCTGGTAACTAACCTAAAACAGTCCACTCATCTCGGGTCTACAAATCTTTCTGAGTTGCTCAGACTAAAGTGTATTATACCTAGACTAGACAGTCTAAAGTGGAATGTCTCTGCCAGATGCCAGGTTTGTGCTCACATGAATTCAAAACAGAGAGCTCTTACCCAGGAAGGAGTCCAAATGAAAGAACAACACCCGATGAACTTTGGGGAAACTGATTTCATCAAGATCTGGTCTACTAAGGGACGATGAAAGTACTGCTAGTTTTTACAGATGCTTTTTCTCAGTGGGTAGATACATTCCCAACCCAGACTGAGACTATTCAAATAGTAGGTAAAATTCTCCTGCAGGATTTGTTCTCCTGCCTTGGCTTCCGCTTAGAAATGGGGTCCAACAATGACCTGGTTTTCATAGCCACAAACCCTCAATTAATAGCTAAAGCTTTAGACACAGATTGAAACTTCATTGTGCACATAGACCTCAGAGTTCTGGCTGGATAAAAAGAATAAAGAGGACATTAAAAGAAACTCTAACAAAACTCTTCCTGGAGTTCAACAAAGGAAGGATAGGCCCTCTTCCTTTGCTTTTCTTCAGCCTGCTGCTCCCCATATAGGGAAAGATTTAACCCCTATGAGATTGTGTTTGAAAGACCTTCCCCGCTATTCCCTGGCTTAGAGACCAGCAGTTGGCAGAACTCTCTAATCACTCAATTTCTCAAGTCACTATAGACACTACAGGCCCTTTAGTCCTCCTCAAAAGGTATTCACTGGTCAGCCAGCCAACTCTCAAGTCCACCACCAGTTTCCCCTTATCCCATGATACTGTCTTGGTCAGGCAGGTAGCCAAAGAATCACTGAAACCAACATGGAAATGGGTGTATACAGTGATTCTTCTCATCCTCATGGCTGGGAAGCTAACTGGCATTACACCACAAATCCTGGTCACCCAGGTCAAGACCGTGGAAACCACGGATGCTGCCAAATAAACTGTCTTCGGATATGGATCCCCTGATATTAAAGATTAATTGGGTCCCAAGCCCTTTCATCCTCTGCCTCTGAACCTCTCCCTGAGACTTCTGTTTGACATAAATACAGCATTATGGTCTAACCCCCACTGCCTTCTGGATATGGGAACTAAGGAAGACGGATGCAGTCATAGAGATGTAGTGTGACTACAGATCAGCAATCCATATTTATCTTGACCTTTGCTCACTGATGCCCACTTTAAGTGTCTGGTTGTACTAGAGAAAGGAAAGATGTGGGAGTTTATTGTTTGAGATAGGAATACAGAATTTACAACTCTATGCATGCCATGTGGCTAGACACCCTGGTTGTCAGAAGCATGGGAGTTTCCATTGTAAAAATTAGTTTGCTAAAACTGGGGCTTTCTAAAACATTACTTAAGAAAGATTCTGATCTTTGGGAAACAGGGAAAACTTAGAGAAGCAGACTATGCCACAAGAAGAAACCTTACAGATAGAGTTAATAATTCTCAGCTAGAAACCATTCATGATTCCTATTGACTGACAAAACTCATTATACCACAGGGTAGCGCAAATAGAAGTCAATGGTTTGACTCGCTGTTCCTCTTCTGATGCTTTACAAACTAAGGAGACAAGATGACCAGGATCTAGAGGTATGAAAGCAAGTTAGATTCTTTGCAGAAATGATCCTATAAAATTGAAAGACTTAGACTTACTTCTTATAAGATAAAGAAAATTGCTTCTGGTTTTGGGAAAAAGTGTTGTTTCTATACTAATTGATCAGGAGTAATTAAAAAAATCTTGCTATGATTGAAAAAAAAAAAACTAAAAAGAGAGACAAAGACATAAAGCTTATCATTGATAGCAGTGGCTATTCTCTTAGTCCCCTGGCTGACTACTCTGCTATCAGCACCGGTTGGGCCTTTAATTCTCTTTCTAATTAGATTAACAGTGGGCCCCTGCATGTTAAGTTATATGACCAATTATTTGTCAGTTCAGTAGAAATAATGGTCCTTAGGACAAGCTGTATCTCTTTAGAGCAGGAGGAGTCTACAATTTGACTCAGTCACTAACACTAGAGGGAAATATAACAGGGCCCCTGAACTCAGTAGGCCCTGAGACCTTAGCACAATTGACTTCCTGGGAGAAGTACCATTCAGGCTGTTAAACTCTGCGTGTAGACAGCACCACCTGCCAAAACTAAAACTAAGACCTAATCCATCAAAGTCCATAGTTATGGGAAAGTCTCCGAATGTACTAACCTTGTGTTTTGACTTCTGCAGTTCTGCTTCTAGCTAAATGTTCTTGTTAACTGAAGTATGTCAATCCATGACATGTTATTTGTGCTTCAAACCTCACCCTGAGAAGGCTCAGAACTACACTGGGATCCTGAATTCCCAGTGTAGTCGCCAGTGGTTAATAAGGGCTTTTTCCTGGCTTAAACACATGTCTGAGCAAAAGTATTATAATAAGTTATGTTCCTTCTATACTAACTTTATTTAGTGATTTAACTAAGAAAGGATAATGAACTGTGTCAATGCTTTTTCTGAAAATTTTCAGGTGATAGGCTTTTGACTTTTCCTTCTGAGGGTATGAGACATCACATGTATTGATTAGGATATACCCATCCTTGTACTCCTGACATGAATTGATAATCTTGAATCTTTGTTTGGCTTCCTTATTTCTGCTACTGTTGTATCTATATCTGTTTTTCTAGTCAGAGTAAGACTGGTTTCATAAAGTAAATATGGAAGATTGTGTCACCCAAACTATTAGAATAATTTAAGAATTTCTATTTTTTTCCTTAAATATTTGATGCAACTCAATGGAGAAATCCATACTTTAGATTTTTTTATTAACTTCTACTACAAATTCAATCATGTTGTTCATTTTTCATGGATAGATTTCTATTGGACATGTGTAGGTGGGTTGTTCCCTGTCTGTTCCGGGTTAGAAGTCTGTGTTGGCAGTGGTTCTTGAGCTTTGCATTTCTGTGATGTCACTCCTCATGCTTTCCTTTCCTTCTCAGACATTATTTCTGTCTCTCTTCCCTCCTCCTATTAAAAAATATCCAGGACTTCATCATTGACAATCTACCGCTTGTGGCATTTATCATTTGTATTTTTAAAACACCACTTATTTATCTGCTTTAAACTTTATTATTTTTTCTTCTTTCTTTTTTCTAAATTTGGATTTATTTTTTCTAGTTTACTGACTCCCTGAAATGTGAACATAAATTGATATATTGCTTATGTTTTTTTTATATAAGTAGATACTGATTGCACTAAGCTTCCCTCATTATTTTACTTTTTCCTTTTAGAGGCAGATTTCTTTAAATTGATTTTATTGAGCTCTACATTTTTCTCTGGTCTCCAACTTTCTTCTCCCCTTCCCTTCAATACCCTTCTATGGTCTCCATACTCCCAATTTACTCAGGAGATCTTGTCTTTTTCTACTTCCCATGTAGATTAGATCCATGTATGTCTCTCTTAGGGTTTTCATTGTTGTCTAGGTGCTCTGGGATTATGATTTGTAGGCTGGGTTTCTTTGCTTTATGTCTAAAAATTATTTATAAGTGAGAACATATGATAATTGCCTTTCTGGTTCTGGGTTACCTCACTCAAAATGATGTTTTCTAGCTCCATCCATTTGCCTGCAAATTTCAAGATGTCATTTTTTTTTCTGCTGTGTAGTTCTCCATTGTTGTGAAGGTACCACATTTTCCTTATCCATTCATTGGTCAAGGTTCTGGCTATGATGAACAATGCTGCTATAAACATAGCTGAGTACATGTTCTTGTGGCACGATTGAGCATCCTTTGGATATATACCTGGAAGTGGTATTTCTGGGTCTTGAGCAAGGTTGTTTCCTAATTTTCTTCTGAAAAATCACCATACTGATAGCCAAAGGGGCTGTATCAGCTTGCACTCTCACCATCAATGCAGAAGTGTTCCCTTTTCCCGACAACCTCTCCAGCATAAGTTGTCATCAGTGTTTTTGATCTTGGCCATTCTTACAGGTGTGTGATGGAATCTCAGAGTTGTTTTGACTTGCATTTCTCTTATGGATAATAATGTTCAGCATTTCCTTAAGTGTCTTTCAGACATTTTAGATTTCTCTGTTTAAGTCTGTATTCTATTTTTTTTTTGTTGGATTATTTGTTCTCTTGATGACCAATTTCTTGAGTTCTTTGTATATTTTGGAGATCAGACCTCTGTCTGATGTGGAGCTGGTGAAAATCTTTTCCCATTCTGCAGGATGCCATTTTGTCTTATTGACCATGTCCTTTGCATTACAGAAACCTTTCAGTATCAGGAGGTCTCATTTATAAATTGTTTCTCTCAGTGTCTGTGCTACTGGGGTTATATTTAGGAAGTGGTCTCCTGTGCCAATGCGTTCAAGTGTACTTTCCACTTTCTCTTCTATGAGGTTCAGTGTAGCAGGCACTATGCTGAGGTTTTTGATCCAATTGTATTTGAGTTTTGAGCATGGTGATAGATATGGGTCTATTTTCATTCTTTTACATGTTGGTATCCAGTTGTGGCAGCACCATTTCTTAAATATGCTTTTTTCATTTGATATATTTTGCTTCTTTGTCAAAACTTGTGTGTTCATAGGTGTGTGGCTTAATATCCAGGTCTTCAATTCGGTTCCATTGGTCCTCCTGTCTGTTTTTATGTCAATACCAGGCTGTTTTCTGTCCTATAGCTCTGTGGTAGAGTTTGAAGTTAGGGATTGTGATACCTCCAGAAGTTCTTTTATTGTACAGGATTGTTTTGATTATCCTGTGTTTTTTGCTTTTCCATATGAAGTGGAGTACTGTTCTTTTGAGGTCTGTAAAAATTTTTGCTGGGATTTTGATGGGCATTGAATTGAATCTGTAGATTGCTTTTGGTAAGATTGCCATTTTTACTATGCTAATTCTACCTATCCAAGAGCATGGGAGATCTTTTCACTTTCTGGTGTCTTCTCAATTTCTTACTTCAAAAATTTAAAGTTCTTGTCATACAAGTCTTCCATTTGTTTGGTTAGAGTTACTCTGAGATATTTTATGCTATTTGTGGCTCTTGTGAAGGGTGATACCTCTGATTTCTTTCTCAGCCCATTTATCATCTGTATAAAGGAGGGATACGATTTTTTTGATTTAATTTTGTATCCCGCTACATTACTGAAAGTGTTTATGAGTGTTGAAGTTCCTTGGTAGAATTTTTGGGGTCACTTATGTAAACTATTATATCATCAGAAAATAGTGAGAGTTTGACTTCTTCTTTTTTGATTTGTATTCCCTTGATCTCCTTTTGTTGTCTTATTACTCCAGTTAGAACCTCAAGAACTATATTGAATAGATATGGAGACAGTGGACAACTTTGTCTTGTTCCTGATTTCAATGGAATCACTGCGAGTTTCTCTCCATTTAGTTTGATGTTGGCTTGCTGTATATTGTAGAGGCAGATTCTTATGTGTGTTTTCCAGGCTAGTTTTGAACTAATTATGTAAATGAGGCTTGCATGGACTCGATCCTCCTGCTTATGCCTTTTCTTTGCTGACATTATAGGTATATACTATACCCTGCTTATGTTTCCCTCTTGGTACTATTGTATTTCATTTTCAGTTGTTTCAGGAAATCTTTTCTTTGTGATTTTATATTTGTGTGTGCATCTGTGTAGAGGTTGTCTGTGCCTAAGACTGATCATATCTTTTGTGTGTACATTCATATGGTAACCAGTGGACTACCTGGTACATCATTCATCAGGTGCTAGGGGCTTTTTCTTCTCCTTCTTTATTTTTTAAACACTATCTCTCACTGGCATGGAACTTGCCAAATAGGCTTACTTGTCTAGATAAAAAGTTTTGTGGTCCACTGGTCTCTGCTTTCTTAATGTTGGGATTATTGGCACATAACACTCTACTTGTTCTTGTCCTTACTGTTATTGCTTTTGGTGGTTGATTGTTGTTTTAAACATGATTTAAACATCATTTAAACGTGATTTTTTAAGATCACTCTTAGGACTTCCCACCTACATTGCAAGCTTTTCTAATTATGATTATTATTTTTGTGATTTAAAAAAATCATGGCCAAAGCAACTTGGGGAGGAAAGCATTTATTGTGGCTACACTTCCAAATCATTGTTAAAGGACATCAGGACAGAAACTCAAGACAGAAACCTGGAGGTGAGAGCTGATGCAGAGGCCGTACAGGGGTACTGCTTACTGGCATGCTCATCATAAGTTACTTAGCCTGCTTTTTAATAGAACATAAGACCAGAAGACCAAAGATAGCACCACCCACAATGGACTGGTCTCTTAATCACTATTAAGAAAATTCCCCCATAGCCCAATCTTATTAACACATTTTCTCAATTGAGGTTCGTTATCTTTAGATGGTTCTAGCTTGTGCCAAGTTGATATAAAACTAGCCAGCACACAGGCACTCTGCCAACTGAGATATATATGCAGTCCTACATGAACTACATCTTATAAATTACAATCTAGGCATTTGTCCTTACAATCACAGATAAATGTAGTCCTCATCCCTCATCAAGGAAATTTTTCTTTGCAGCAGACACAGATCACTATTGTAAACCACAATCAATCAAAATGCAGAGCTGTGAAACAGAGTCCAAATAGATATATCTATAGATGACTCCAGATCCTAAGGTTTAGAAAACATTTTTGAAGTGAGGGTAGAACAATGGTAAGTCCAGAGAACCAGAGACCTTGCCAGGGGAGTGTCTTCTCCTAATGTCAGAAGATACATCTGTAAAGTCTCATCAACAAGACTGCCTCAACATGAACTAAACAAAGATGGCACCAATGGGCAGAACAAGTGGATGGGGTGCACAGTGTCTCAACTGTATGCAAATAAATACAGGCAACGGAGGAATGCAGAGAGTGGGAGAAATAGTATTGCTCAAGAAAAAGCGTACTGACTGATTGTCCATACCAAATGATCAACCATGAAAAACTATACATGAGTAACATTAAACAGGATGAGCAGGTTATACTTAGAAATATATATATATATATATATATATATATATATATATATATATATTATACTGTGGGAGAATTGTCTGTATTCTGTCAATCATGTTATAAATACATGCTGATTGGCCAGGCAGGAAATATAGGCAGGAAAGCCAGACAGGAAGTAGAAATGATGTAATGAGAACAGGAGAATTCTGGGAAGGAGGAAGTTGATTCTGCCCACTCCTGCCCAGATCACCAAAGCAGCAGGATGTGATCTCCCCACTGAAAAAAGGTACTGAGCCACATGGCTAACATAGATCAGAAAAATGGGTTAATCAAGATGTGAGAGTTAGCCAGTGAGAGGCTAGAACTAATGGGCCAATCAGCTTATAATTTATGGAGACCTATGTCTTATTTTCTTTGGGACTAAACAGTTGTGGGGTACTGGGCAGGACAGAAACCCCAACAAGCAGGCCCCTTCATGTTACAATATACATATATGCATATAACAACAATTAATGAAAAGAAGATACTAATTTGAGAGTAAGGAAGGGTACAATGGAAAGTTTAGAAGTAAGAAAAGGGAAAAAGAAATTATGTAACTATATCTAATCTCAAAGATAAAAGAAAAAGTTGTGAAAAAAATGATAATAATATTGACGAAACAGCATTATTTTAAAAGATTTTCAAACATACCCATGTAATACACTGTATGAAGTGACTGATGTCTCCAGTAGAATGAGGGAACAAGGACTGTTGCAAGCCACTTGTTCATGCAGCAATTTTTGAAAAAGTACAAGAAAGTGAAAGAGAGCGCAACTGTCTTTGCTCTGTGCTAGAGCTATGTGCATTTTTGTGGCTTAGCAATAGTTGTGTGGAGTGTCAGTGGCTGTATGAAGTATGCTTTTCTTATACCTGAGGTAAACACACCATTGCCTTCCTGTGTCTGAACATCTATGTTTCCTTCCGTTCCAACAGCATACTCTGATGAAGTGCTTTGGGAGGTTTTGCTTGCAGGAACGTGTACCCCTAAGTGCAGTAAAGAGAAACAAAGGAGGAAGCAGATTGCAGATGCGGAGGAGAACTGTATAAAAAGCATGGTATGTGCTGTGTAAAAGACCAGAGAGGAAATTCCACAAGGAGAGTGAAAACTTGGAGATGGATTAGAAAGGGCTATCCTGTGCACTATGACACTCCAAATTGGGACTTACAGAGGGCCATAACAAAGTGCAGAGACAATAAGACAGAGAATGCTCTGCAGAGGACTTGAGGAATACGAACAATTGGCACTGAAGGAGCGTTAACAGTTCTCCACACCAGTCTTGTGTGCTTGGCAAAGGTGCTGGCCTGAAAAGTAAAGTTTTATCCATGCTAAACACTTAGTAGAGAGGAAAATAGATTCAAAAGTGCTTCATTAAAATAGCTTCTGATGACTTTTGAGAGAGTCAGGATTTCCAAATGAATACTTCAGTGGGGAAGCAGAGCAGCCTTTAGGGATAGTAAAAGCTATTGAACAAGGAACCTAAACGCATCATTAGGACAACTTTCCATCCCACAGAAAATGCTGCCCCAATGTGACGTGACCTTTACACTGTGCTTCTGACCAACACGTATTTACAGAGGTCAGTGCTTAAATGAGCATCTTTCTTCTATCATTTTTAAAAGAACGGTGATTTCACAATAAAATTTAAAATAATACTCTAGATTTTGTCTGTAGTGTTTTTAAACCAATTTCCTGCTGGGTTTCGGTTTCAGAACAATTTCCTGGAGACTCCAATTTTTTTTCCAGATATTATTTCTTTGGGCAACAGGAGAAAAGGAGGAGAAAAATGGTACTTATTACAAAAGCAATCATGGGGGTTCTGCGACAATTGAGAAGCCTCATATGACACCAGACTGTGATTGCACTAAAGTCTGGGAAGATTTATGTGTTGTTGAGGCTCTTGGTTAAGCACTTGGATACAGGATCCCAACATATTTCACTGTCTTATAAATTATATGATCTACCACATGAGCTTTCCATAAGTACAGTTCTTATTTATTGACTACAATGTCAGAGATGTCACTTGACACAAAAGTTACTCCCAGATGGCTACAAACCAGTTCTCCTACAACAATGACTATATCAGTTCTATGTTGAACTGTGAGGCCATTTTGCTTCTAATCGCATGTTTTTGTCTTACTTTCTAAGAAGATAAATAAGGTCAGTGACAGTATTCCTTCCATTGTCAAAGAAGTTGGATGACTGTTAATTTCACCAATTCTATTTCCCAGGTGTTGTAATAGGAGCGGCGGGGCTGCGTCCCCAGCACCCCGGCCGCCTGCTAGCTTATGTCCCGAAATAATTACACAGACACTGTATTCTTTTAAACACTTCTTGGCCCATTAGCTCTAGCCCTTACTGGCTAATTCTCATATCCCAATCAACCCATCTCTAATAAAGTGTGTAGCACTGGTCTTACTGGGAAAGATTCAGCATGTCTGACCTGACGGCTTGCTTCATGGCGTGTGTCTGCCTGGGAGAGGGGAGCATGGCCTCTCTGAGCTCACTTCCTCTTCCTCCCAGCATTCTGTTCTGTTTACTCCACCCACCTATGTTCTAACCTATCAGGGGAAGCAGTTTTTTTATTTAATTAACCAATGACCTTCCTCCATCACCCAGGTGTCCACCAGAGATTTCCATCTGTTGTCAGTGCACAATGCTTCAGATTACCTTATGCTCATTGTGTGCTTAAGGACAGAGCAGGATGATGGCAAGGCTTCACAGATGCTTAACACCGAAGACATTACTGGACTACTGGTCAGTCACCCAGCGCTCTCTATTGATTTTAGCCTGTGATTCATCTTCACAAGTCAGTTACAACTTCAAGCTCCCCTTTACTAATCTGTGACATAAGATTGTTTAACCAAACTATCTACCAGACCTATGACAGCTCAGTATTCAGGCGGGTGACAGAGACCAAACAGGTCCTCAAACTTGTACAGCAAGTACCACACCCTTGTAACCAGAATGACACTTTTGTATTGTTCCCTTTACAATATCCACAAAAGATTCTGCTCTCATGTTTGATTAAATAAATAAGGAAATAAATTACTTGAACTTTGTTCCATGTAGAAATGAATCCACATTTCATTCTGGGGCACAGATACCATAGTCCTCACCATCTGCTTCAAACCTTCTTGTAGCACAGTTTGAGTTGCCTATAAGTATCCCTTCTTCCAATTTTGCCTTATATTTCCATCTTAAATACATTCAGACAAAGCTTTGGTTTCAGTCCTGCATCAAAACTATTCTAAACTGGCTCTTTATTTTAAATCCACTAGCAAATTCTCCACCTTCATCATGTTTATCTTACACCTTGAAAAAGTGCTTATTTTTCCTATGTTAGACCCAATGGCAGAAGTCTCACATGAAAACTCAAACTCATCCTTTCCACCAACAATAGCTACAAGTCCTGGCTTGCTGTACTATATTTCAGTCGATCTGGAATATGTCATAAACATATTTTAATTGGTTATATTTAGCATATTTACATGTAGCTAAATATGGGGGCAAAGTCTTTAGCCAGAAATATTTATCTGAAATAATCAAATACTCACAGAACATGATACTTAGAAGATAATTAAAAATTTTTAAAATATACCAATCATATTTAAATAAAGTCAGTATTATTCTTTTAAAGTTCTGATATTTTAAATATTTAGATTAATTTCAATAAATTAAATCCTATCTATCCACTTTTAATTACTTTGAATTCTTATGGAACAGGAAGTAGAAAGAATTATCAAGTATACAAAGAAAAGAAAAATATCAAGTATACAGAAAAAGAAGCATGTATTTTATGGCATGAACAAGTTTAAAAATATAGAAAGAAACAGCAATTATATTTGGTATTGTGGGCATCTTCAGAATTATGAATTATGGGGCCTACAGCTTCTACTGTCTACCTACTAAATAGAGGTGAAAAAAATCAAATATGTATTTTATATATTCCATAAGACTCAGACAAACTTTTTATTCTTTAATATCAGTATAATTGCTATAAAAAGGACTCATTTGCTTGCCTTTTGGTAGAAATAGACAAAGTAAAAATGTAATGAAGATATATATATATCTTCATTTCGTAAAGTTTATATATATAAACTTTACCACCTTTAATTCCCCAATTACATTAGTTATCCAAACATGAAAATGAAAAGATCAAGGGCCCATCTGACACTGGCTCCAAACTAAAGCTGTAACAGAAGCGGCAAAGATCCCACCGTGTTCCAACTCGCTCAGCCACCTCCATGCTCTATAAGGAATTCTAAATAGTAGCAGTTGGAGACTGTTTTGAATATTAATTATAAGCAAATCGTTGCTATATTGACCACAAGAGCTCCCTAATAAAGCCAATGGCTGATTTTAGATCAGAATTTCTGGAAAGGAAATCTCTTAGGACTTTCTAAGCCTGTTTAGAATTCCTATTCGGCGCTACCTGCGAGGTGGCTGCCATCTCCTTTGCGGCATCACGGCTGCCCTCCGGCCTCTGGTGAAGCCCAAGATCGTCAAAAAGAGGACCAAGAAGTTCATCCGGCACCAGTCAGACCGATATGTCAAGATTAATCGAAACTGGCGGAAACCCAGGGGTATTGATAACAGGGTAAGGAGAAGATTCAAGGGCCAGATCCTGATGCCCAACATTGGTTATGGGAGCAACAAGAAAACCAAGCACATGCTGCCTAGTGGCTTCCGGAAGTTTCTGGTCCACAACGTCAAGGAGCTGGAGGTGCTGCTGATGTGCAACAAGTCTTACTGTGCTGAGATTGCTCACAATGTTTCCTCCAAGAACCGAAAAGCCATCGTGGAAAGAGCAGCGCAGCTGGCCATCAGAGTCACCAATCCCAATGCTAGGCTGCGCAGCGAAGAGAATGAGTAGATGGCTTGCGTGCACGTTTTATTTGTGTTTAAATAAAACCACAAAAACTGCAAAAAAAAAAAAAGAATTCCTATTTGTCAGAATTTGATCATACAAAAGACCTTGCAGTGTTCTCTTGCCGTATCCATTTGACCATGACAGTTTAAAATTGCTCTTGAGTTTTGAAAAGTATAAGGGAATTCTCTTCCACTTGTTTTTTTTTTTTTTTTTTGTGCATTTAAGCTTAGTAGAGAGTGGGGAAGATGGCAATGATAAAGGGCATAGAGAGAAGACATGTGGTTAAAATGATGTCCTTTTCAGTTCTAGAAACAGCTTTGAAATCCCACTCCCCCTCAACCACTTCCCTTACAACCATGTGTAGTTCATCGGCTTCCTGTCAACTCTCACTCTGTGAACAAATTCATCAGAAACATAACTTCACGTCCCTTCTAGTGGTCATCCTCAAATTTAAGGCTCAATCATTAGTTACATAGGCCACTGGAATCACAAAGGAAAAAAATCTTTGATGTTTCAAAAGAGGGTGGGCATATTCAGGCATCCTTACTATGTCTGGGACTGCCCTGTGTGGATGCTGCTCCTTCTTTATGGTAAGAGTAGCAGTGTCACTTTATGAACACTCTTAAATATTGCACAGGATGACTCAATGGGTAAAGTGCTCCTCACACAAGCATAAGGATCTGAGCTTGAATCTCTAGAAGCCACCTCAAGTCATATGTAACCGTTTAGTAACAATCTGCCAAACAACCCTAGACTCAAGTAGTATGTAAAAACAAAAAGCATTTATTCAGCAGAAATAACCAGTGTGCAATGCTGACCGTTTGTACAAAGTGGTGTTTGGTCATGTACAAAACATTGACTGATTGCACCTGATCTTCTTCTTTTTTTTTTTTTTTTTTTTGTAAATTTTACTTATCATTACCTTTTATATGCTGGCCATAGTTATTATCAGATTAAAATATTAACCATTCTATACCATTTGTAATATGAAGAAGATAACATGTTCTGTTATTACTTTTGGACAAATAATAAAAAGAATTTTAAATGTGTCCCATATTTCCTGAATAGCGGACAATGAGGACTACTGAGAACTAAAGAACAATGGCAATGGGTTTTTGATCCTACTGCACGTACTGGCTTTGGGGAAGCCTAGGCAGTTTGGACGCTCACCTTACTAGACCTGGATGGAGGTGGGCGGTCCTTGGACTTCCCACAGGTCAGGGAACGCTGACTGCTCTTAGGGCTGACAAGGGAGGGGGACTTGATAGGGGGAGGGGGAGGGAAATGGGAGGTGGTGGCCGGGAGGAGGCAGAAATCCTTAATAAATAAATAAATTAAAAAAAATAAAAAAATAACATTTAAAAAAAAGAATTTTAAATGAACTGTTCTTCAGAGTTCTGGATCTGAAATGCTTCTGAATTTTTAAAGATAGTTCTTAAGTGATCAATAGACAGGGATTAAGCAGGAAAAAATAATAGATAGAAAGATAGATAGATAGATAGACAAAATATATTTTTTAGCTCAAACTCAATTGAGTCATCAGCAAAACTTATAGCCAAATGAACAATACTCAATAGCATCTCATAAATATTTGCTGAAAGAAACTGAGCTGAAGGCTCTATACTTGTTTTCATAGACACAGTTGAGCAATGTAAAGATTCTGAATAATCTCCTAAATAATTATTTTATCTATCATGTGAAATGTGTCCATAATAACATATCCATTATGAGGTGCTAATAGCACAAAAAAAGCCATGCAGATTGAGCAAAGCAAGCATTGTTATTTATAATTTTACACAACAGTAGTTGTGCATTTATTCTGCATTTATTCTGAATGAATAGTCAAAAGCAAAAGAAAATTACAAGGTAAAACATTAATCAGCTTCAGAAAGGAAATTTATCACTGTGGTTAAGAATTTAGATTGTCAAACTCAATAACTGAAATGGTTTATTGATATGACATCTGTCCCTAATACATAGTGTCAATATATCTAATAAGGTATACTCAAGGGTAAAGTTTCCATGTCTGAAAGAATGTATAGTAGAGTTCTTGACACCTATGTAGATTGCACCAGACTATTCATGATCTTCTTATGTGAGGCACATATTCACCAGAAACATCATTGAACAGTGAATGCTTCAGTAAAACGAACTTTATACCATGAATATGGTATGGCGTGTCTTATAATTCTTACAGAGATGTATTCAAGAGCTTTTCAGGAGGTAACAAAGGAAACATGCTTTGGGGTACTGAACCTATTCTTCTTATACAGTAATTTTAGGGAATTATGGAGAGACACTACTCTGCACTACTTACAAATACTTTTCCCTCTGCTGGGCGACAGAGGTATGAAACATGCAGAGAGCTGAACTCCACATTCTCTACATTCTAACAGAATGAAGCAGCTATGTATACCTCTTAAACATGGACTGCATATCCTCTGTATCAGAACAGAATGAAGTAGCCATGGTTACTGTCATTTATTTTAAAAATGCTTATATTCTGAGTTTTTTAGTTCTATTCAGTGAAAATCAAGTTTTCATATAGAAGTTACAGCATTTCTTTTCATACTTTGGTATATATGGACTCACAAGCCTCAAAACACCCTAATACTGAAGTAGAAGGCTGGGAAAATGTTTGAGATGAAGGGGAGAATACCAGAAATAGTGATGTAGCAGTCTTATTACATGTAAAATTAAATTCACTTTCACCTTTTAAAACTCATTTAGGCATGGAAACATTCAAGAAAAATCGATCCATTTATGAACCTAACAAACTTCATTGATGGTCTATTCTGATCAATAAAATCCTAGTAAACTTGACATAAATATTTGATTATTTTGGCACAGTCCATTTTTACTTAATGACCTTAAGGTCAAAGTGGAAGTCTCAAGAATTTTATGCAACCCAGTAAAATTTGCAGAGTTAAATTATTACTTTGATGACATACAGTCTAACTTAAAATTCATCTGTCTCTTAAATTTTCAAGAGAAAAAATTTCTGCAGAATACAAGAATAATATGTTGAACAGTTAACTTTACATGTATGCCACCTTTGATAATTAGGCTATGGACTGTTTATTGGTACTCAGAATATATAATTTTAAGTGACTATTATAGTAGCAAAAATATGACCAATTTTGTTTCTATATTCATGGTTGGCCAGATGTGGAGGCCCAAAAATGTGAGCCTATTTCCATCTTGTCTGATGGTCAGAGAGTTTGAGGTTGCTCAACATTGTTGACAACTAGGGCTACACATCTTGACCATGGTTCTTTTGGCATTAAGGTGGCCCATACAATTGGATTCACTCCACCCTAATTGTCAGGATATTCAAGCGTATTTCTGCTCCTTCTTTTGAAATAGGATGTGTGACCTTGGGTGTGGCTGCCTTCAGGATAATTGGTCTAGGGTGGATTCACTGCCTTAACAACAGAACGCTAATGACTTGATGACTAAAATTATTAAAGCAAGGAACTGCTCGAGTTGTCCTTTGTATCGTATTAAAATAGTCTTTTGTTGCTTCCCCCATCATACTGGGTTTTAAACGTCTATGGAAAATTAAACACAGGGATTTCAGTATTCACTAAAACTCCCTTCTGGTACTATTCTGTGTTTTCAGTTTAATTATTTTCACTCATATCTTCATTCTCTTTAGCATTTTTCTGATCCCTGTGTCCCTTCCCTGGTAAGTGATGTTTGTGTTAGAGCTGTTCTTTGACAACCAGATCAAGTAGCAAGCAAAAATAAATGTTACATTTTGTGGAAAGAGTATCACGAGTTGATCTAAAATTAAGAATTGGAAAAAGTAAAAAAGAATTTGAAGTAAAAACTTCAAACCCAAGTGCTTCTGTGGTCAGAGCATCTGCACTTCAACTTTAGTTGAAATTTAGTTCAAATTAGTGTAGTATGACCTGCTAAAATGTGGTAGCATTAAATAATCAGTACCTGTAACTTGTAAATCATTGAAAAATATGGAAATATTGCAAATATCAAACCTAGACACATTTCTTTGCAACCATCCCTCTCACAATTTTAATTAAGCTTGTAGAAGGATTTCCACAACATTGGTGCATTGGTGTGTGTGATTACCCCATCAAATTAATACAATGAATGAGTTTGTCCAAGACTAGAGTGCCTTTGATGTTAGTGAATCCTATCTCACTGAAAAATCATAGTAGTGATCTGATAAATTTTTACTAGTGGAATTCTTTTGTAATCTATTCTTTAACCTGAATTATCTTGCTTCTCTTTTTGTTTCTCTTCTCTTCTCTTCGCTTCGCTTCTCTCCTCTCCTCTCCTCTCCTCTCCTCTCCTCTCCTCTCCTCTCCTCCTTCTTCCCTCCCTACCTCCCTCCCTATCTCTATCCCTATCTCCCTCTCTATCTCCCTCCCTCCTTTCTTTCTTTCTTTCTTTCTTTTTTCCTTTCTTTCTTTCTATAGTTCTTTCTATTTTGCAAAAATCCCAACTTTAGGAAGCTAACAATCTCAACAAAGTATAAACAAAACTGCAAGCAAGTCAAGCAATTTAGATGAGGTTGGAAGTAAGGCATTCAGGATTGGCCTCATCTGCTGAAGGAAATACTGAAGGCACCACAACTCATCACTTCAACATTGCTTTAGTGACTCTAGGTTGTGTTTATTCTTACTGCATTTATGAAAACAAGCTCATATTATTTTCAGAACATGAATAACTATTATAAGATGTCTATATATGAAGAGCTTCTATAAGACTGGATCCTAGGCTACATAATAAAGAAAATTCTTGTGTTTCAGCACACAAAATAGAATGCATCCATACAAACATGAACCAACCTGTTTTTCGTTGCCATAGGAGCATAGTTTGAGCTTGATAACAGAAGGCACTTGGCATGACAGATGCCTTTATGAGATTGTGTTCTACTCCAAGATAAAATACGAGGCCCAGTAGCCTTTCTCACAAGCCATAGCCAAGACAGTCAATGAATCAATGTAAGATGACATCAAGGAAGAATGGTCTCATTGATTTTCCACAGAAGA